CTCACACATACACACACAAAAAAGGAAGTGTGACATTAAAATGGGTCTAGATTACAAAATAGCTCACTATTTCTTTGCGTGTGTGTGTGAGAAAGATCAGCCCTGAGCTAACATCTATGCTAATCCTCCTCTTTTTGCTGAGGAAGACCGGCCCTGACCAAACATCTATTGCCAATCCTCCTCCTTTTTTTCCCCAAAGCCCCAGTAGATAGTTGTATGTCGTAGTTGCACATCCTTCTAGTTGCTGTATGTGGGACGCGGCCTCAGTGCGGCCGGAGAAGCGGTGCGTCGGTGCACGCCCAGGACCCGAACCCGGGCCGCCAGTAGCGGAGTGCGTGCACTTAACCGCTAAGCCACGGGGCCAGCGCTCACTATTTCTTATATTTACCAAAACAGTTCGACACCTTTCAATTTTAATTAAAAACAGTATTTTGCAGACTTTAAATATACTAACCAAAATCATGTACAATATATAATAAAAAATTAAAAATGAGTAACAACTATCATTTTTTTAACACAGAACATTAAAAAAATGTTAATATAGGGGCCAGCCCCGTGGCTTAGCGGTTAAGTGCGTGCGCTCCGCTACTGGCGGCCCAGGTTCAGATCCCAGGTGCGCACTCATGCACTGCTTGTCCAGCCATGCTGAGGCAGCGTCCCACACACAGCAACTAGAAGGATGTGCAACTATGACATACAACTATCTACTGGGGCTTTGGGGAGAAAAAGGGGAAAAAAAGGAGGAGGATTGGCAATAGATGTTAGCTCAGGGCCGGTCTTCCTCAGCAAAAAGAGGAGGATTGGCATGGATGTTAGCTCAGGGCTGATCTTCCTCACCAAAAAAAAAAAAAAGTTAATATTAACAACAGTTAGCAACCATAGAAAAAGATGTGTGCACAAGGCTATTCATTGTATCCTCTTTGTAATACACTTGGAAACTATCCAAATGCCCATCAATAGGTTGAATAAACTACAGTACTTCCACACAATGGTGTACTATGCAGTAAAAATGAATGAAGGCTATCTCTAGATACTACTACGGAATGATCTCCAGCATAGTGAAAAAAGCAAAGTGGGAAAAAAGTGTGTAAAGTTATGCTACTATTTATCCAAGAAAGAATGGGATAGGAAAATATGTATTTGCTTATACTTTTTAAAATGTAATGATAAACCACAACTTTTTAAAAAATGGCTATAAATATCCGGAGGAAAAGACAGGGATAGAAAGTATACTTCTTTGAATATACTTTTTAGCTTTGACTAGACTCAAAAGCAATATTTTATGTAATTATAAAATTTTATAGAAATTTCTAAAATTCAAACATAAAATGAAACAAATAACCTAACTGTATATCCACTTAGTGTATAACCACACAGAAAGGGACTATTACAAATGAGTTCAGTAGTGGAAGTCTTATTATTCTGAGACTGTGCAATGTGGGATAAAGCAAATAAGTAATCACATTATGGCTTCAAGAAGTGGGATTTCTGACACAGGAGAAAGGAGATACAGGGATAAGATCAATGAGGTTAGTAAAAACCCTGAAGTCCTGAATTTGAACTCATAGTTTATTTCAAGAAAACAATTTTTTCTAGCTCCATCCATTGAGAAGGCAATAACCAACCTAGTAGCAATGAGCACCTCTGGCTCCCAGACTATCATCTCTAAGTACCACTTCCCACAAAAGGAAGGAAGAGAAGGAAGGAACAAAGGGAGGAAAACAAGAGAGAAGGAGAGAAGCCAAGTCGCTCCTTGGATGAATGACTGATTCCAGTTCAGACATGGGAAATGTATTATCCTGTAACAACTTATCACACCAAAAAATAAGAAATCTAGCAAAAACTATTCAAGTTGTATAAGGATTAGAAGCCAACTTGCACAGGCTCCCAGTGACCAAAGCAAAAATATCTGAGCAACAAAAACGATAATAAATGCCACAGATAGAAGCACACCAAATGTGTCACAAATCCATGAGTATATATTGATACAAAAAAAAAAAAAACTGGGGAGAATGCTATTTTGAAAACTGCTTAGTAAAAAGGAAAGAATCAAGCATTTATCCTGCCTTGGTGATGAAAAGCTTATCTTTATAGAAATATTCCCTCTAATAAATGAAGAAGGAATGATAAAGTTAGAATATCATGATCTTACACCCCTTATAAATTAATGCATTGAGGCAATAATTATCAGTGGCTGCTAAGAAAATAAAAAGAGAAACAACAGCACATAAGTACCTCCTAATGCATCCAGCAAAATCCAGACCATAAGTAACTCTCAAGACAAAGAACCTGCTTTCTCTAATAACAAAAACAAAAACAAAGAGGGTCCTAAGGTCTGAATGTTTGTGTCCTTCAAAATTTATATGTTGAAATCGTAATGCCCAACGTGATGGTATTAGGAGGTGGGGTCTTTGGGAGGTGATTAGGTCATAAGGATGAAGTTCTTGTGAATAGGATTAGTGCCCTATAAAACAGACTCCAGAGAGCTCCCTCACCCCTTCCACCATGTGAAGATACAATGAGAAGTCTGGGACCTGGAAGAGGGCTCTCACCCGACCACGGTGGCACCCCAATCTCAGACTTCCAGCCTCCAGAACTGTAAAAAATAAATTTCTGTTTTTTATAAGCTATCCAGTCTGTGGTATTCTGTTACAGCAGCCTGAACGACCTAAGACAGAGGGAGAGGGAGAAGGAAAGAGAGAGGAAGGAAGAGAGAGGATGGAAGGGGAGTCAAAATATCAAAAGAAATTTAAGATTTTTAAAAGAGAGATACACATGGAGCATATCTGAATAATGATACCACAAACAATTTTTTTAAATTATAAGACAACTGCCATAATCTGAACAATGACTGGATATGTGATGAATTTCTATCTTGTTTTAGATGTGGTAGTTGTATTCCGGTTAATTTTTTAAGGATTTCATAAATATTAAAATATTTATGAATAAAATAATATGATGTCTGGGGTAACTGATGAAGCTGATACTAGTCCATGGGGGTTCCTTATACAAATCTATTTTATATACATTCAAAACTTTTTCATAGTCAAATGGGAAAAAGCACTTCTCAATTCAAACAAACTGCAAATATGTGTGTGCGTGGATATGGCAACTGGGAAAATGTGAAGAGTGACTGATAGGTGTTAATATTAAAGAATTATTGTTAATCATTTTAGGTGTGATAATGATATTTTGGTTATAATTTTTCATTTTTTTTAAAAGCTTCATTTTTTTTTTTTTATTTTTATTTATTTATTTTTCCCCCAAAGCCCCAGTAGATAGTTGTATGTCATAGCTGCACATCCTTCTAGTTGCTGTATGTGGGACGTGGCCTCAGCATGGCCGGAGAAGCGGTGCATTGGTGCGCGCCCGGGATGCGAACCCGGGCCGCCAGTAGCGGAGCGCTCACACTTAACCGCTAAGCCGCGGGGCCGGCCCCTTGGTTATAATTTTTCAAATGAAAGAGTTACAGATGAAATGACATCTGGATTTGCTTCAAGGTAAGCCAGGGCTGGGGAGTGAGTGAGATGTAGTTCAAAAAGACTGACCACATATCAACAACTGTTAATGCTGGGTGACAGGTATATTGCCATGATTATACCACTATCTTAGCTTTTGTATATATCTGAAATTCTGCATAATAAAAAGCTTTGAAAAATAGTTTTTTCATTCAAATTTTGATGTAAGGTTTCTAAAACTTCTGTACTTACCCATGTTACCTCAGGAGGCTTTATGAAGATTAAAAGAAATGAAGTGAATGTAATTAAATGAATGTTGAAATGCTGCCTTGTATTATCTAGGCCAGTGGGACAGAATGAAGAGAACACCGAGCTTGAGATTTAAAAATTCTGACGTGTTTATCATCACTTTTTCGTTGATGCTTTTCCTCACTGTCTTCGGTCTCTCAACTACAAGCTCCTTAAAGACAGAAACCTTTTCTATCTTGTTCACCATGGTGTCCTCAGGGACTAACTCAATGCCTGGGATGAAAGAATTTCAAGTTCTTGTTCAGCAATGTTGAGCAAGGACTGTGAATGTTCTATTCTGTACCCAATGCCACAATTCAATCAATATTTGTGGTATAGGTTGGACAATTTACTTAACCTCCCTGAGCCTCCGGCTCCTCATCTGTAAAATGGAAATAATATCTACCTAATCTAGTTGATACTGTGGTTAAAAAGACTTCATGTGGCCATTCATTCATTCACTCCACAAATATTTGTAAATTCTAAAGTCCTATAAAAAGTATGGAATAATCATTCCCATAAACAGAGTAGTAATAATAAAATGACACAAATATTAGCTAAATGTAAATACTCATCAACAAATATTTATGGAGTTTCTGCTCTGTACCAGGCACTGGGCTACAAGCTACGGATAACTACGAAGGTAAATATGGCAGAATCTTTGTTTTTGAGGATGTTTTCTGTCAAACGGATGAAAAGAGAGAGAATGAGATTACAATATAAATTCATAAGTGACATACCAGAGTGCAACAGGAATACAGCACATTCCAACTGGAGACATTCTCCTACCCAAGTTGGTTTCAGGAAAGAAATCAGTTCACTTAACTTCCCAAAGTTATAAATTTCAACCTCCAAATTAAAACCACCATGAGATATTTCTCCTTTATTTACTTACTCACTGCAATAAGGCTATAGATTCCTTCTAAAGACCCCAGCCAATACTGGAAATCTTCCAAAGGTTTTAGATACTTTTGTTTTTTTGGGTTTTTGTCAGCGGTCCAAACCAAAAGAGTTAAATGGAACTACTGGCTCATCCATTTAATATTAATTGCCAACTCCCTTCTCCCAGAACACAATGCCCTTCTATTTCAAAGAAGCCCCCTCAGCAATTTGTTCCATGTCAATCAACAGCCAAATTAAGAAAGGACGCAGATTCAAGTCTTTCAGATCTAATTCCAAACACAAGACCAACTTCTCTTCCATTAAAAACAGGACTTAATAACTCATGTAAAAAAATTTTTTTTAATAACTTACCTCAAATTCTTCCCAAAAGCCTTGTTTGACTTTATCTGTGGTCTCAGCCAATTTGCTCAGTTCTCGAACTCGGCTTTCTATTTCCGCAGCGTTGATACGAGTCGTGTTGAGGGGCTAATCAAATTCAGCAGTTGGTGTGAAATGAAGAAAGTATTACAGGAAACAGTGTTAACGCAAAAAAAAAAAAAAGACTCCTATGTTGGTATTTATAAAGGCAAGAACAGAAAGTTCACAGGACACAGTAACTCACAATAAAGTCTTCAAATACAGTTTCACTTTCTTTTCTATTCTGTCAGAAAATATATCTTTCTTCAATCTCCACACATACTTTACTCTGCTGATATAAATTTGAACCTGTTTTTCTTTATAAATTGACCACAACTTTATTTAGAGAGATGATATAATTTGCCACTAAGTAATAATAAAAGCAAACTTTGAAATAGCAATAACTCCAAAGTGAATAAGAGTGACCACCTAGGGCCGGCCCCGTGGCTTAGCGGTTAAGTGCACACACTCCACTAATGGCGGCCCGGGGTTCAGATCCCGGGCGCACACCAATGCACCGCTTCTACAGTCATGCTGAGGCTGCGTCCCACATACAGCAACTAGAAGGATGTGCAACTATGACATACAACTATCTACTGGGGCTTTGGGGCAAAAAAAAAGGAGGAGGATTGGCAATAGATGTTAGCTCAGAGCCGGTCTTCCTCAGCAAAAAAAAAAAGAGGAGGATTAGCATGGATGTTAGCTCAGGGCTGATCTTCCTCACACACAAAAAAGAGTGATCAACTAAAGGTAACCAAAGGCTGATCTATGGTGAAAACTTGCTTTAAAAACTCTATAAGGGGCTGGCCCCGTGGCTTAGCGGTTAAGTGCGTGCGCTCCGCTGCTGGCGGCCCGGGTTCGGATCCCGGGCGCACACCGACGCACCGCTTCTCCGGCCATGCTGAGGCCGTGTCCCACATACAGCAACTACAAGGATGTGCAGCTATGACATACAACTATCTACTGGGGCTTTGGGGGGGAAAAAAAACTCTATAAGGCCTTTTAGAGATACATATGGAGATAATCATGGAAATGATGTAATTTCTGGAATTTGTTTCCAAATACCACAAGAGTGGAGTAATAAACGAAACAATATTTGATGAGTTGATCATAACTGAAGCTGGGTGATGGGTACATGGAGGTTCATGATACTATTCTATTTCTATATATTTAGAATATTCTATATTAGGATTTTTTTTTTTTTTTTTTTTTTGGTGAGGAAGGTTAGCCCTGAGCCAACATCCATTGCCAATCCTCCTCTTTTTGCTGAGGAAGATTGGCCCTGGGCTAACACCCGTGTCCATCCTCCTCTATTTTATATGTGGGACGCCTGCCACAGCATGGCTCAGTAAGCAGTGAGTAGGTCCGTGCCTAGGATCCAAACCTGCGAACTCCAGGCCACTAAAGCAGAGCACACGAACTTAACCGCTGCACCACAGGGCCAGCCCCTATATTAGGATTTTTTTAACTCTCGAAGAAGATGGAGCTTTAGCTTTCCAATGTGCTCACCTGCTTGAGTTGTAATACTGTGCCCAGTGTTTCTACCATGGGATTCTTCTTGTAATGCTCCACAAGATCTGTCAAAGAATCAAACCGTTCTCCTCCACCAACATCATATTTCAATTCCTTTCAAAGAAAAAAAAAATTATGACCTTTATGTTAAGTTACTGTTTTTCGCAACTGAAGTACAAAGACTAACTCTCCCTCAGTAATGGAAAGATCAAACAGCTGTAGGAGCACAAAGGAAGGAAGCAACAAAGATGATGAAAACGGAGAGGCTGACCGAATGTCAAAGAGTTCACTGTGAGGTGTGAGAAGCTCTAAAAAAGTACCCAACATTAACTAGGGCACAAAAAAGTTTCTCCTTCATAAGTTAACTAAATAGCTGAAATAATGAAAAACAGTATTCTTTACTATTTACTTATACTCCAGGCTAAGTGACTATACATAATAAGGCTGCCGAATAGAAGGTAAATAACTATTTCTTTCTGAAAGACAACAAACCCCAAGGCGGTGAGGCAGCACTGAAGCCCAATATACACACTCTTACTTTCATTTCTAATGAAAATTTAAACGGGAAATCATAAACAGAGACCAGGAAATTTTTTCTGACAAGGAGATCAGAATAGTCTATTTAGGGCCGGCCCCGTGGCTTAGCGGTTAAGTGCACGCGCTCCGCTACTGGCAGCCTGGGTTCGGATTCCGGGCGCACACCGACACACCACTTCTCCGGCCACGCTGAGGCTGTGTCCCACATACAGCAACCAGAAGGATGTGCAGCTATGACATACAACTATCTACTGGGGCTTTGGGGAGAAAAAGGGAAAAAAAGGAGGAGGCTTGGCAACAGATGTTAGCTCAGGGCCAGTCTTCCTCAGCAAAAAGAGGAGGATTGGCATGGATGTTAGCTTAGGGCTGATCTTCCTCACAAAAAAAATAATAAATAAAAAAAATAAAACTGGGGAGGAGGGGGAGAAGCACTTTCAGAATGACAGAGCAAGGACATCTGAAAATCTGCTCTTCCAGAAAAGTAACAAGAAAATTGGCAAAAATTATCATCAACTTTTTCAGAATTCTGAAAACTAACCAAGAACTTTCAACAGTTCAAGGAGCATTTATGCAAGAAAAATGATTGCATCTTGAAGATTCAATCTGTGCAGAACAAACTGTGGCCTTGTAACTTGCCTTATTCCCACCCGTCCTCCCCAGCTTCTTGGTAGCCTTGAAAACCAACAGCCTCGTAACCACAGTGGCTATGAAAACAAGCAATCTAGCACAACCAGAGGGCACAGAATGGATTTGGAGCTCACTCAAGGGACCTATCCCAAGAGAATTATCACTATTTGGCCTGTTTAGCAGCTCCTTGGAAAAGGCCTGTTTTCAGAGCTTGTCTTTGTTTAACTGACTTAGAGCTCACTCAGCCCTGTCTTCAGGGCATCTGCTAAAAACAATCAGCAGCAATTGTTTAATATCACGGCTGTTAAAGCAGCAATACCACTTAGGGCAAATAAGAGACTAACCAAAAACCTAAAAGGAAAATCTAGGCAACATCCATCGGGGGCTCTGAAAACCTCCAAATATTCTTGAGAATCTAGAAGGCCACGTGTATGTGCAGGGCTGTGTGGAGTCCAGAAAAGATCCAAGAAGGCCCTAATCTTCACCTCTAGCTGACCTTGAGGTTCTGTGCAAGCAGGAAGTGAAGGCTAAGTCAGAGTTTTAAGCTGCCAGAGTGCTGAAGGCGTGCCCCAACACACACACACAGAGGCCCCCAGGCAAAGACTGGCAGACTTAATGGTTCAAGGCATTTAAGGAAATCTCTGTTCAATCATTAACTGACCACTAAGCTAAACAAGCAAAACTTCAGTAGGTGTACATGACAAAGAATACAGGAAAGTCACAAAATACACACACAGCAACAATAAAAAGTAGCAACAACAAACCCAGGGAAAGGAAGGCATCTGATTTCCAGAGTTCCCACATTATATTATTTAAAATGTCTAGTTTCCAGCAAAAAATCATGAGACGCAAAGAAACAGGAAAGTTATGGCCCATACATGGAGGTGGGGAGCACTCAATAGAAACTATCCTTGAGAAAGCCCAGACAGACTTTAAATCAGCTAGTATAAATATATTCGAAAAATTAAAGGAAACTATACTTTACAAATTTAAATAAAACATGGGCATGATATCTCATCAAACAGAGAATATCACAAAAACTTGTACACCAATGTTCACAGCAGCATTATTCATAATAGCCACAATGTCCATCAATTTTTTAATGGATAAACAAAATGTGGTATATCCACATAATGGAATATTTGACAACAAAGAGTTTACTGATACATCCTCTAACATGGATAAACTTTGCAAACAGAATGCTAAGTAACAGAAGCCAGACACAAAAGGACACATATTACATGATTCCCTCTATATGAGACATCCAAAATAGGCAAATCCATAGAAACAAAAAGTAGATTAGTGGTTACTAAGAGCTGAGGAGAGGGGGAAAAAATAGGGACTGACTGGTAATGGACACAGGGTTTCTTTTTGGGGTGACGAAAATGTTCTGGAATTAATGTTGGAAGTTGCATAATTTGTAAATATACTAAAAACCACTGAATTGTCCACTTTTAGGGTGAATTGTATGGTGTGTGAATTATATTTCAATAAAGCTTTTTTAAAAAATTTTATTAACTGAAGCAATAAGTGAATAGACAGTTACTATTTAGGAAATTACATCAAAACAAAGTTTGATGTAGTTGACCAAGAATCAACCTCCTTGGTCCAGTCACCATATTAAAATCAAGAAATAGTGAGTTCAATCATCCCAGCCTTAATGCAGGAACTCTGTGATATGAAGGCAAATGCAGTCACAGGCTAGATTGTGACAACCTGAAGGAGGAGCCAAGGCCATCCCTTTAGAAATTGAGACTGAAGCCGACTCTAGCCGCAATCAAGCATGACCAGACTAGATCCTGCAGGGCAGAAGGTGATGCACCGAGGCACGACTTAATCTGCTAGACATAGACTGGAAATAAATAATTTAATGAAGTTCTGAAATGATGAAACACAATAAACAATGTACTAAAAGTGCAGAAGCCCTTGACTAAACCAGCAAAGAAAATCTGACTTTGGAAGTGATGGTGTGTATCTTTTCCCAGCAGAAAAATCACCCCAAGACGACATTCTGCCAGACCTATCACTCAATTGGGGCTTTACCTGACAGCGGATCATGACATGGGTCACTTTAGACTTGCCGTCATTGCTCTCTCCTTTGTCATCACCAGTTCGGACAGAGAGAACAAAATCTCCAGGGTGGCTTTGGCTCTCTCGCACAAGGAAGCTGCCGTGTTTTCCTTTCTCAGTTAATAATTTCTCTGCTTCTTTCCCAGAGAGGTGTCCATGAAACCACCTAAATTTTTAAAATGAAAATGAATTGAGTTCTGCCATGGGTTCACAATATTCTTTCATGAAACTACTATATTTAGTCAGCTCTCCTAAACACAATTAAAAACAGACACTTTCCTCCAAGAGATTGATCAATCCCACAAAAGATAGAACTTGCATCTCAAAAAGGCAGAAAAAATGATAAAGATGTCAAGAATGACCACTAAACTTCTTAAATGAGCCCACAGGCACCTGGAGACAAAGGTCCTCAGTCTTTCCTATTTTCTTTTACATTTTCCATTTTTAAAAATGAAATTTGTCATTTCTCCATTGCTCAACTCTAAAAGAACCAACTATTTAATCACAACCATTTAAAGAAGTTACAATAGAAAGTCATGGTAGAGACAGAGAATCCTTTGAATGTTTGCCCTTGCTTTGGCATGTGAACACCACATAAAAAAGGATTTTCATTATAAATTAATTCTAGCATTCCAAATTTTTCCATATTTCCAACCTATACTTCAACAGCCTTCAAGGTTGCTGTCAACATCTTTGGACTGTATACTGGGTTATCATTTAAAACTTTAATGCACAAAAGACTTGAGTGAGCGATTTTGCTAAAAATGTGAATTCCCATGCCTTCCAACCAGAGATATCAATACACTAAGTCTGACTGGGGCCCAGCAATCTGCATTTTTAACCAGCACACCAGAGTCCTGATGAAGGCCATCCAAGGACAGACTTGGAGACAACACTGCTCTAAGTTACTATAGAAAACATCTTAACATAGTCATATTTATAATATTAGTGGCTTTAGGATCTTGGTAAGAAAGCAAGCACTACCGTGGCAGATAATGCTAACGGCTCATCACTAAAGGAATATACTCCAAGTTATTTTTCATCCACCCTCAACTCAACAGAGTAAAATTCAGAAATAAACTGCACCGAGTTGGCTGACAACTTTTTGCTTGAGGCTATAGTGGTGGCTGGAGAAACAAATTATCAGCATATAATTGCATTGACATGAAGGTGCAAATTGAAGAAACCTACCTGAAGATCCAAAATATACTAACCTGATTAAGAGACCCTGAATTTATACTGAGTCAGAGAGGAGACTGGGAATGCAGAAAACCAATAAAATCAATACAAACAAGTCAAGCCCCAGCTTTCGTCAGCTTAGTTCCAACATGGGGGACAGAATCTCTGAAGTAATACAATTCCCTTTAAGCAAGGGCATTCTCACACATTTGTGGATATAACATAGAAGAACTGATGAAAAATCTGACCCTCTGAGTTCTCTGCTTTTCCACTTCTGAGCCTAAACTGACATCTGTTGGTGGCACTGCTGAATAACTGGTCGGAAGCTAGTACAGGGAACTGCAGCTATTCTGGTGTCTCCATTTATCATTTGTTTTCCTCTCGCAACTCTCAAAGATTATCAGCTGACGTTCAATAATCTTAAAATTACTACATGTACCAAGAATATACAGGAATAGTCTGAGACTCCTGTAGAATAAGTATAAGAAACACTGATTGAAGCTTTTGCAAGAAAAGGGCACTCTGAGAATAATCTGATCCTTTTATTCTTACTTTAGTAAAACTTTTACAGCGTGAGAAACAGATACAAGCCAAACCCCCATAACGCACTCACATAACATCCGTGGCACGAGACACTCTGCAGTTACTAAAGTGTCACTGACCTTTCAGAGGTAGGATCTGCACAGTTCAGAGGATATTTGAGCTCAATAACATCTCCATTCTTCTCTTTTAATTGCCCATGATGTTCCATGTAATACTGGACCAGCTCAGCCAAAGTGGCAAACTTCTCCCCTCCATACAAGTCATAGTAATCCCCAGTGTTCTGAATCTTGATGTGGGTGACAGCTCCATTTCTTCTACAATAGTCCATTAGAAAGGGGAGGGGAAAAAAAACAAATAAAGAGCTACACTGGTAAAAATGGATCTCATATTCAGGATCGGATTTCACCTAAATATTAAAACAACCCAAGGAATGAGTTTTCACTTCTCCTGTAACAAACAGAATGAGTGAAATAAGCAGAGTCAACCATTTCAACACAAAGGGCTCTGTTTATTAGTTTCCTTTCCTTGTACAACTTCTATTTTGAAAGTCTCACCCGTCAGATTGCATATATTGACAATTTTTCTCATCATTAATTAATCAAAACACACAAAGTTAGACATAGAAAAAATCCACTCCTAAGTATTTTGCCCAAAAGAAATGAAACTGTTTGGCTACCAAAAGACTTGTACAAGAACATTCATTGCAGCCTTATTTGTACTGGAAATAAATTGAAAACTCAAATATTTATCACCAAAATGGATAAATATAGTTGCATACTCATACAATGGAATAACACAGAGCAATAAAAAAAAAAAGAACCACTGATACATACAACAACATTGATGAATCTCGAAAACATTATGTTAGGAGAAAGAAGCCAGACACAAAAGAATATATATTGCATGACTTCATTTATATGAAATTGTAGAACAAGCAAAACTAGTCTATGGGGATAGAAATGAGAATAGCGGTTGCCTCGTAGAGGGAGGGAGATTTGAAAGGAGCACAAAAGAACTTTCTAGGGCGATGGAAATGCTCTATATTTTGACTGGGGGGTTGGTTACATGAATAAATATATTTGTCAAAATTCACCTCACTGTTCATCTAAGATACTATATGCAACTGTTCCTTAAAAAATCATTTTAAAGACACATATAATAGAGTTTCCGGCATGAGACAGCTAATATGTTATCCAACTGAGTTGACATAACACTGACCAAAAGCTTCTAAAACTTGGTATTTAAGTTAGCATAGGCAGCCTGACTATGATTTCCATTTGGTTTTCTGAACTACTACATACACCTCAAGGATACCTTTTATCACCTTTAGGGACCCAACGAACAGATCTGGAAACCCCAAAATGGTAACCATAGGTCTATATTTATTTTTAGTCTGACTCTGAAGCATTATTGATGAAGTCTCTGGAAAATATAAACAAATTTCTACCAAAGAAAAAGTAAAATGGGAAGTAAGAAAAATCGTCCCATGATGTTACTGACAATTATCTACTTCTAATTTTTGGTGGCAATCTTTTCTAGCGGGTAAAAAAGGCACTTCTGGTCACTGTCCCCCAGCTACACCCGACTATATTCTAACACCTGAGCTTTCTATTTCTGGCCTTCACTTAATGCCACAACACAAAGATCCTTCAGGGACGGACTAGCTCAATACACAGCAACACAGAGGGATCTCAAAAACGAGAGACTGCACGAAAGCAGCACAATGCAGAATGACATGCTTAGCATGAACCATTTATGAAAATTCAAGAACACACACAAGTAATACTAAATATATTATTCACAACACAGACATACACATATATATGTATTATATATTATCATTATAAGTATTATAGTATCATTTACATATTACATTCTTTATTGTATTATAAATACATACTTCTTTTTTAATGAACTAGAGAGAAAAACACCAAACTCATGATAGTAGCTGCCTCTGGGACAAAGGGAAGAACGGGATCGAGGGTGGTGAGTAAAGGGAAATTTTGCTTTATTTTATATTTTATTTTTAAGAAAAAAATGACTGGCAGTAAATACAACATGGGTGATTGCACGTAATTTTTTGTACTTTTCTGTATTTTTTTTCTCAAAATTGAAAAGAGGATCTTCCTTGACTAACTGAATATAAGATCAATCAACGTAATACACCACATTAATAAAATGAAGAATAAAAATCTCATGATCATCTCAATAGATGCAGAGAAAGCATTTGACAAGATACAGCATCCATTTATGATAAAAACTCTGAATAAAATGGGTATAG